GAACACAAACAGCAAGTCCATTGTAAGTGTAACTGTGATCTCTCTGAAAATGTTCTAGGAGTACAAAAGGTCAGGATAGTATGTACACTGCGCATTGCAAGATACTTGCTCAGCACTGCAGTGGATGTTTGAAATCAAGTGTCCCACTCATAAGGACCTATGAATCAGGAAGGATTTTGCTTCACAGGAAATTAGACCATTGGCTTCTCCGGCGAGGTTAAGAAAACAGCAAAAGAGCCCGCTGGCTCCTTCTTCATGCACAAAACTGAGATCCAACCAGCCCCAGAAACAACTGTGTAACCCTGAGATTCAGATGATGATCAAGCTGAAATGCTAAGTGTCCTCGTTGTTTTGCTGCTGCCTTTTCCACTTTCTTGTTGTCAATACCCATACAGTGAGGGTACCAGAAAGCTACCTGGCCAATAGCATTAATTTTATACCCAATCAATAAAATTGTAAATAGTGGAGGGGAAAAAAAAAAAAAAAAGTATTAGGCAACAGATAATCAACTTCTGCCTATGCTGGAAAGACCAATCCCTCTCCTGCCATGCTGAAATTCCAGGGAGCTTTAGGTTATACTGGAGGTGGGTGAGTGTCTGCTTTCTCTCCATTTGCATCTTGGGGCAGACTTGAAAATAGCTTCACACATTTATATGGAGGTGCATTTTTGCACAAACCTGTGAAAGAAGCACTCTGTGGGCACTGTCAGGGGATGATCTGATGACTCAAGGGCTAAATGTTCTCACAGCTTTTCCCCTTCAAGGAGATTATTTCCCTTTTAAGCAAAATCACTGTTTCCTCCGCAAAGAGTACCAGAACTGGCGGCTCTCATCAGTTTGGCTAGCAAGGGATTTATCATGACCACAGAGCTTTAATGGCTGGTCCAACCACTTACTGTTACCTAGATGATGCTCTGGCCATGCAGCACAAAACAGGCTATGCCACTGATGGGTTGCTCTATTTCTGCACCTCCTGTGCCACCATCTGTGGTGATGGCTGTAACAGTGCCCACAGGATAGGGTCTGGGGAGCAGAAGGTACCACTGCACAGGAGCAGCTCACATACAAAACCATATGGGCACACAAGGCTGCTGAGACCTTGCAGACTGGAGCACCATTACCCTTGTGATAGCAGGGCAGAGCAGAGAGCTTGATATAAAACCTGTATAAAAAGTGCCCTGGCATTTCTACTCTCACACTGATCCTGGCATGACATCACCCATCTCTGTATGCTGGATCCCAGCATGGACATTCCTTCCCCAAGTGCCAGCATCAGCTCCTTCAGATCTAAACCCAACACACTTTCCCAGTAAGCAATAAGCTTTTATCTTTTTCTCCCCATATAAAACACACGTAAGAGTGAAATGCACACCACATAAAGATGCTGCAGAGGGATAAACAGACAAGATGACAGGACTTGGTGATTGAAGGGTGAAATGATTGAATACCTGGCATAATCTCCACAGCAAAACTGGGCAAGAGATCAGCAAGCAGCCCTGTTCTGCCTAGAAAAGACAGAAGGAGGAGAACAAGGAGATAGGTTACTGCAAGAAATACATATTCCCCAGCCCCTGTTTAGCCTCCAGTTCCCTTCCTCATCAGCCCACTTGCACTTTGTTAAGTGTGCATCCTATCAATCACAGATGTCATCCAGCCTGATGCCTGGTTTCTGCCATCTCTGTGGCCTTGGATTTTATCTTTATCAGCAGAGCTGGGGGAAAAGAATCTTGAACAGAGCTTCTCTGAGCTAGGCACAAAATGACAAGAGGGAGGTGTCCTTAGCGCGATTACACGGTAACATCTTTCTGGAGTTACATTCTACACATGCAAAAAGCTCCTGGAAATGCACAACAGCCCTCAAAACAAAGGATTTGGTTTACTTTTAAAATGAACTGATGCGGTTTGGATGGGGGTGAAACATCTTTAACCCAAGGCTCTTGACAAGTCAGCCACATGCATACAACACCTGTGGGTGGTGCTCTCCACACAGGGCTCTGCAACTGCAGAAACACCTCCAGGAAAGGGGCCTTGAAGCACGACACTGATTTCAAGATGCACAAACAACCTGGAGAGATTGTGTGATACAAGGTTAACTCTGGAGCTGTCCTGGGTTCAGCTGTAACAGTTATTCTTCCCCTTCCTAGTAGCTGGTGCCATGCTGTGTTTAGGCTTTACTGCTGCATGGTGCTGAGTTACTGGCTTGGCTTAAACTACACCACAAGCAAAGCAAACCAACCAGGGAAGAATCCATGTAGAAATTTGTGGAATTGCTTTGCAAAAGGAGAAAAAAAATCTAATTTATAACTGAACATAAACAAAATGCAAGCACTGTATGTCTGGGATATTTCTAACATACAGCAAATGTCCTGCACAGTGTTCAGGTGTGTATCAGCAGAACAACCCTATGTGCATTATGGCACATACAGCATCAGGAGCATGCTAAGTTTTTATAAAGATATGCAAAAGGCAGGAGAACTGCACTTTTAAGAGAGACATACATTGTGGATATAACATAACAGAAACAGCTAAGGGTAAGCCAGTGCAAAAGTGGTCAAGCGCTATCTTTAACCTCCCCATATGCCTTCCAGGTCCTGCACTAAGCAGCACTCAGACACAATGATGAACTGGATCCCAAGCTCCTTGGCGTATAGTCTTCTTGAAGCATACTATAATCAAATTCCTGCTGTCCTTTTTTAACTCAGTGCTTCAGCAGAGCTTCTGTAGAGATCAAAAATCCACAAGGATGTCCACTAGAACCATAATAAACATGCTCTGAATGCAGGGAGTGCTCTGAAACTGATTGCAACTCATCGAATCTGTCCAGTTCTCACAGTAGCACCATCATGATGAGGTGCTCCTGAAGCCTTAGCAAAAGATACAATGGTGATCCTTGAGAGAATTGTTCCTCATTTACTACTTTGAAGGAGGACTCTTGCCATCAGTCTACTACAACATTTTTATCTACATATATGAAGAGTTTCACGACATTCTTTGCAGTCCATTTTCTGGAAACATCAAGTGTCCAAACTGCTCACAACTAGCTTGGGAAAATGTTTACATATGCTTTTGGCCCTCAAGATATAGGCACGTACACACATGGCTTAAGTCTCAGGTGCCACAAGCAGGCTCCAAACACATGCAACAAATGTATGCCTTGTGTCACAAAATCCTAGATTTAAATTATATTCCATGCATACATTAAATATATTCCTTACTTTCCAAGCATGCACAAACATGCAATTCTTCATAGACCTCTGTGTGCATGTGAACCACACTCATGCAGACACAAAGCACATAGCTTGACTCCGATGTGTTATTATCTCCGCACAAACTCATATGCAGCTGTCTCCTGAAGGCAGATGCCAGTGGATAAATAGCTAGAGGTATATAGCTAATTTGGGGCTGGGATTGTGGTACAAGAGGTAAGGGAGTGAAACCTATAAAGAGCAGAAGCTCTAGCTCATGAGTCCAATTATGTGCCTGCTTTATCTTGAACTTACCCAAAAAGCTTCAATCCTTGCTAGTGCTGGATCTTAGGAACCCCATGTTCAAGGGTAAAGCATCCCTCAAAAATAACAGTGCTTGAGAACTTGGTAACTTATTACAAAGACATCCAAAGTAGCTCCTCTGTGGTACCTTAGAGCAGCCAAGTATTTCCCAGCTTGTGCAGCCTCACTCAGCTCTGCTGTGTATCTGCTTGGGGAATTTGTTCCCCCTGCACCATAAGAGGGGCTCACACAACACTGGGGGGCCTAGATCCACTTGCAGGGGATGCACAAAGCTCAGGAGGGCCTTTGGCAACAATAAACTCCACCATGGCTCAGCCTGTACTCTGACACCTTGACTAGCCCAGCCAACAGCCAGCAAGCACAAAGCCTGCCCCTGCACTGGCAAGCCCCCAGAAGCTTTCAACACACCCCAGCCCTCCCTCTTCCCCTCCTCATCCTGGCCCCAATTAATTCACTAACCCTTCCCCACACCCTTAGTGGGTAAAGCCAACAGGCTTCACACACACTGCCATGGCTACCCTGTGGTTGTCACAGCAACAGGAGGCTTCCCAACAGTGACACTCATTGAAAGCAACTTTCCTGCCGCCGCTGCTGCCAGCAACAAGTGGAGCAAAAGCACCCAGTCTGCCCACAGCAGGTGCAGGGCAGCTCAGCTCTGGGGGAGATAAGAGCTGCTGCAGCCCTGTGCAAGCCTGTCCTGGGCATGGCACACCCCAAAGCCAGGCAGTAGCCGGTGGCGTGGAGCAGAGCATGGCACCATGGTGGGTCACACAGTGCCTGAAACTGTGGCAGAGCGCAGGGTTTCAGTGAGCAAGGCCTCCTCTTGGAGCCATGGCTGAAACGCCTGCAAGTGCCCATAGCCAGCATCCTACCAGTGGCTCTCTATACTCAGGCTGCTCTCTGCATGGGCATTAAGCTCACCAGACTTTTCTTTTGGTTGTTTTTGTCTTAGGCTGAGGCTAGACAGCATTTGGTGGGAGAAAACAGGTTAGGAAAATGTCCTGCCAAGAGACCACCTCACCACACCACCTCAGCACAGCGACCCTGCCCACCTGAGAAAGAGGACTGCAGGCACTCCAAGACATGGCTGGGCACAGGCTGCAGCTCTGTGCTCCCACCTGCAAGGGCTACATTTCCTCTGTGAGAGCTGTCACACCCCGTGGGAGAAAGAATAGACAATGGCACCATTTACCAGAGCTGTCCCAGACAGCTCTGTTAGCACTAGGGGCTTTTCCTCATTCCATCATGGATCTGGGACATGTTCCCATTTCTATTCCTACCATGCCGCTCTGGGGCTTTACCCATCCACAGTGGCCTCTCACTGGGCACCCAAAGCACACCCCAGGCCCTGGCTAGCCTTGAAGTTCAAGGGAGACTGCAAACCCTCAGTCTGCCCTGGCAGAGAGCAGCAGCAGAAGGCTGGAGGAGGAATGGGAAAGGAAAAGCTATGGGGGTGCAGAGCATCGTGAGGAGGTGCAGGGACAGAGGCAACTGAGGACAGGAATTAATACACAGGAGGCGAGTGGGTGAGAGTGAGAAGCAAATAGCAGCAGATGAAGGGAGGACCTGGAGTCAAGCAGACAATTAGCAGAAAGTCTGCAGAGAAGAGATATAAAAATAATTAGGGTAAGTGGTGCAGCTGAAAAAAAAATGATGGCATGAATAAAGGTGGCACAGGTGCAGTCAGGAACACAGCAACTGAGCAAATATAGGAACATGGTGAACACTGGCAATTGCATAAATGGGGTAAATATTGGGTTAATATGGGAGTAACTGCTGAATTGGGTTCTCTACCCAGGGCTGCCTCCAGAGCCCTACCAGCAGCACTGGGACCTCAAGAGGCAGCAGCTATAAAGGGAACTATTTCTTCCTCAGTGGCAGAAAAATTTGCCAGCTGTGCCACAGCAAGAGGCCCCAGCACAGGACGCTGCCCTGAGGGGAGGCTGGAAAGCACAGCAGAGAAGTGCGGCCCTTGTAAATCATACTTTTTCACGGAAGCTGCTGTGAGATATATTGGGAGAGCATGGTCCTGCAATGAGTTCCTCTGTGCTCCCTCCACTTGAAGTAAACTTTATCCTTTCTTCCCATCCTTCTCTTCAGTCGGAGGGAGAAACAGCAGCAGCCCATCTTGGAGATCAAAGTTTTAGCAGGCAACAAAGACCTCCGAGGAGGCTGTTGCCATGGCTACCTTGGTAATGGAGGTCTTTTAATCATGCCAGTCTCCTCTGTGAGCAGCATGCGGCTGCGGCTGGCAAATAAGGAGGAAAAGAGGGGTAGAAAACCTTGGCAACAAGTAGCACTCCTAAACGGTGTGAAATAAATAACTAGGAATAGGCTGGTCCAGGACAAGGGGGATTGGACCTGGATTACAAAACCAGTAGCACAGTGGCCCTGAGCAGGGCAGCAGTGCCCAGTGAGATTAATATTTCACTAATATATAATTTATGTAGTATTAGCTGCCAAATTGGATGGAAAAAACAAGCAGGCAATAGATATCTAGCAAAGCACGTGGATCCCTAACCGAAGTAGCAAACCAACAACTGGGATTAGCAGACCAGTTTCCTGCCTCTTCCAGGAATTTGACATGTCCTTGGGAATGAAGCCTGTTTCATGAAGCATGTCTAAGCTGTGTAAAATCTCATAATGCCAACCCTGCACAGACCTATGCATTTTAGGATAGCCAGCTGTGCCTACCTATTCCTAACAGCCACTGTGCTGTAGCTGTACCAGCTTGTCAAGGAGCAATATAGCTGCTTTCACAGGACCCTCACCTGATTAGTACATTTGTGCCCTCAGGAAGGCTTACTGGTTTATATACAGTCCTACACAAGTAAGATAGTCTGCTTCCTGATGTGAGCTGGGTCACATGAAGCTAGGATGGGGTATCCACTGACCTGTACTTCTGATTCTGAGGTTACTCCAGGCACACAGCATCCACTGCACTGGTACCCTTGCAGTTCCCTTCAACAAAGGCTGCAATGAACAATTTTACTGAAGCTCACTGACATTCTCAGATAAAAAGCAGTAACACAGGGGCTGTGAAAACAACTTGATTAATAGCACTGTGCTTCAAGAAGCAGGACACACAGCTGCTAGCTACTAAGATGGAAATGCAGACTTCCTTAAAAATAAGATTCGGCCTTTTTGATTCAATTGAGCATCACTTGACTCTTGCTGTGGAATTGTTAAGCTCTGTACTAGTCTAGTCCTGCTGCAGCAGAAGCAGAGTTCTTATCAGTCATGCTATATCGTGTTTGGAGATTCCAAATACCACTAAAAAACAACTATTTTATAAAACCATGATAACAGTTTTTAGTTTAATTTTTTCTTTACTCTGCAGGAGGCTCACTACCAGCCAACCTCCTTCTGTGCTTCTGAGGCACAGAGGTTACCACCCCTCTTCCCTTGCCTTCACTGATTCCACTAGAGGGGGTTAAAATCCCTGACTAAGCAAAACCTACTGAATGGTCTTCTCAGCAAAACACATAAGCACATGCTTAACATCAGGTATGCCTTATAAATCCTATCAGCCTTGCTGTGCACAAATGGATATAAATAAATGCTTATATGCTTTTCTGAAATAGGCCTGAAATGAAGACAGTACACAGGATTCTCTGATTTTGTCCACCTGCTTTGTGTGTCAACACCACATATCCAGGTGACAAAACTCGACATGCAATCCCATCGTGACCCAGGCCGACTTAAGTGAAGGACACTAAAGACTGCACTGGAAATCTCTGTGATTGCTTCCCTCAGGGAAAAAGAATACTGTAATTTTTTTGTGTTTTAGATTTTGCCTCAAGTTGTGAATAAAGCGACTTTTGATCAATTTTACCAGTGTAATTCACTGTATAAAGCAGGATCCTGCACTTCTAGGTAAGCAAATTCCCACTAATTTGTTGATGCTATTAGATATCTACCGTTTTTGCTTCTCAGACCTTTCAAGGTTTCTAATACATGATACTGAACTGCCCTGTACAACAGGATCTTGTCTAACCTAAACACACCTTTCAACTTGGAATTAACATGAAACCACTAGAAGGGATGCTTTCCTATTTCCTTTTCTGTTCTGATTTTCCTGTCTTCCCCCATTGATAGCATGAACCTCTGCTCTATTCAATGTTCTAATTTATGCTTAAGTCATGCAGTAGCTCCAAAACAAGCAACGTCAATTATATTCGAAAGACCACTATCAGCAGGGAACAAACAGCAATGTGCTGTTGGACTTGTAGCATATCCTGCAGTGTATTTTGCAGACACTAGCCTTCCACTGCTCCAACTGCTCTAACAGGGAGTCTGGGTTCACCGAAAGAGCAGCAAACAGCAAAATATCAAACAAAACCCTTTTACCATATGTCCCTTAGGACTGTGGAATTGCTCCAATCTTCATCTGTACTCACTGCCTCCCTCAAAGCAGTTGGATGGAATAAAAAATGTCCCAGAAGATGCTAGAATGTTAAGAAATAGTATTTTCACCACTGGCTGCTTCCTCCATTAGCCATCAATGGGGAGAGGTAAATGAAAAGGAAAAAAAAAAGCGCAAAGGGAAAAGGGAAATGGGAAAGATTAAGGTGGGAATGGGAAGGGAGGGTTGAAGGAAGGGATGAAAATGGGTAGGTAACCTGGAATCACTCTGAAAGCTGGAATGTTGCCTCCATACACACTACCCAGGAAAAGAAAGCCACACAAGCTGCACCAAGCAGCATGAGGCAGAACAAAGTATTCTTTCATGCTGCTGCCAAACTTGGGAGAGTGCTGCACAAAGCACGGGGTCAGACCCACAGGCTGAACAGAAAAGCAGATGTGGTCAAGCTACAGCCTAAGCTACGTGTTTCCTCCCACTGTAACTACAGCAAACTGGGGCCAGTGACATCATCAAGGAGAGGAGAAGATGTCTTTATTTCCCCCCCCACATAGTCTTCTGTACACACTGAAAAACAGATTCTTCCTGTTACCATGGCATTGTTTCATCACTGGTATCTGAACAGAGTTGTAGGCACACAGAAGAGGAAGACACCAAATCCTGTACAGGAAGGTGAAGAGACAAAATTCAGCAGCCATCACCTCACAGTCACAGACAGCTCCTCTGGAGATGCTATGGAACAACTACAACTGCCACCTGGTAGACAGAACCTCACCTGAACTAACACAGTTCAGTCTTGGGCCTATTATTAGCTAGCATATAATACATAATCACACTGTGGATTTAGACAGGGTTGTGACACTTTTCTGGAGGGATCCATTCTCCAGTTGGCCACAGCTTGACTGACATCTGAAGGAGTAAGGATGGTAATGTCATAGTTACCCACCCATTCCATCTGGTTTACTTTGAGATGACAACTACAGCTCCAAGCATAAATGCCAATTTAACTCTGACTCTAGCCAGGAGAGTAAAGGCACTTGACAGACACATTCTGTAGTATGCCTTTACGTATCACCTACACATCATAGACCCAAGCTTTTTCCTTCACAGATCGACAGAATCTGTAGACCCAAGAACCATGCAAGCAAATGTTGGCGTCAGCAGGTCTTAAGGTAAGTTGGGAAAAACTCATCTTACTCTCCTGGGGCAGTCTAGGGGCAAAGTACTAAAGCTGGCTCACAGCAGTGTCAACCAATGTCCCTGAAAGGCCCATTCCACTCCTCTTTTCTGCCCTAGTGGGAATGGGTGCTTTTCTGACCTTTACAGTGGAAAGGAACTGTGGAAGCTGTCACTGAAAGCTAACTCTGCAAACAGGAAAGAAACTGATCCTGCTCACCATACTGCTCAAGGGAGCTTAACAGAAACGGAACCAAGCATGCTGCAGGGAGAACAGGTCCTTTTAGTGGCAGCACCACCTTAGACCTGATTAAGGCGGCTATGAAACTGCACCTCTAATTGAACAAGTATAATTATGGAGAGACAAAAAACTCACAAATTGACACACTCAAGCAGATAAAACACGGTGCTTCTTGACATCCTCACAGGTCAGCAGAGTGGGCGAACAAAATGTTAAAAGACTGCAAAAATCATACAATTTTATATCTTTGGGGTGTTTATTTTTAAGAGACTGACTCAAGTGTTCACTTTGCTGCAAGTTTATTGTTTTATGCCTTAAGAACAAGGGTTCTGATTTTCCACAGCCCTGCACTTTGCTGTAGTCATTTATGCCAGTGTAATGTGTTAGCAATCTGGGTGTAAACATTACTATTCTGGTTTGGTAGCATTTGCCACCCTCTTTGCCTAGGTGTGAATGACTGCACAGGGTGCAAGGCAATGGTGAAAGTACTGTTTTACATAGATCTTAGACCCAGAGTAATATGGTGCACAGATATGTAAAGAGAGCAAGAGTGCAGAAGGAAAGATACATCACCTATATGCTGAAAAAGCAACCTGACAAGAAGGTTTACCAAGCACAAGCAGCTCCACCGATTCTTCATTCTTGCCCTCCACATCATCCGGTGTGATAATAAGGCAGTAATAGAGCCCACTGTCTCCCCACATCAACTTCCCAATCTGAAGGTCTGCATCTGAAAGGCAAAAAAGAAAGGTCAGGCTTTCCTTCCAACACCTATGGGAAGAGTGAAGTGTTGAAAGCACCGGGTCTGTCTCTGTGTCCCAAATCCATTTCATTTCCTTACTAAGAAGGGGGGTTAACTTTATCCAGAATATCACAGTACTCAGGAAAAAAAACAACAGGCTCTGTGGCTGAAAGTGAGAAGACAGGGAATGCCACAAGAGACAGCTCGCTCTGCAAGTCCAAAGAGTGTAAGGGGTAACCAGTGTCACTCTCTGTCCTTCCTGATACTTGAGCTTGGGGTCCAACAGTATTTTTGCCATGAAAGAAGTGCTTAGACAATATCTCCTCCACAGCACTTCAGTCATCTGCTAAAGAGGTCACACAGAGACAAAGGAAAACACTCCCACTTGCTGAGGCTGATCACATGCTCTGCACATGAGGGAGCCTCTACTTTTGGCTTGGTGGTCTCCCAAGACGAGCAGAAGCCTTGTGCTTTTGAGGGACAAGATTTCCCGCACATCCTTCGAGACCAAATGTTTAAAGGACCCCTGCATGTCCACCCAACCTGACTTCACCCCATTAAAACTCTTCCTTTCACACTGCTGAAGGCTGTATGGGTTTAGGTTCATGACAGCATAAGCTAGTGAAGCCCAGAGTTGAGCAAACATGAGATGTAGAATAACTTCGGTATTTCGGAACTGGTTAAAAAATCAGTGAAGTTTGCAAGGAAGAGAAACCTAGTGCATGGAGACTGAATCTATACCTTTCTTGCTGGTGCCCCTTTGTTAAGTAAAACCTATGCAGAGAGCAATATGCAGAAACCAGAAATAAAAATCTGTTCTTCAAAGGGAAAAGAATACTGTATGAGGGCCGGAGAGCTACATGAAGTCATATGAAGGGATGCACCAAAGGAAATGAACTTTGGGTCTAGGGTTGGTTGGCTGTATCCTAAATGTCTGACATCCAGCAGGCTTTTCTAAGGGAGTGAATTGAACAATTTTACTGCCAGCTTCCAGTATCCCAAATTGCCAAGGGTCCATTCTAACCCCCAGCAAACATCACAGGGGTGGAAGAGTTACCATGGACAATGCTGATGTCTCTTTCCTTATAGAAGTCCCCTATAGTCACAGCAGATCCTTGTTTGGAAGCCACAACTCGGACTGTCCTCCTGCTGTCCACACAGTCCAAATAGGGATCCCAGTCCAGGTTCCTCTTGCTCATCATTTGTAAACCAGAAGTTGCCATCCCCAAAGCTTCTCCCACTCGGTCCTGGCAGTAAGATTTAAACCTCCACTGCACGACAGCTGGTTGGGTAGAAGAAGTGGAGAAATGGCAGCGGAGCAGAGCAGGCTGAAACAACATGGCCACCTTCTTCTTCTCAGGCACGGTAACCTGCAAGCCTTCCACTTCAGCTAAAAGACAAAAGCATGAGTGTCATATGCCTTGGCATTACCTGAAGAGGAGGCTTCTGCATTTTATCATAGCACCGTTTTCCCCACGTACTATCCATCTGTTTCAGGTGCTAGGGTGCAATAACTCCTCAATGTATGTAAGCATGGGAGTTGGCAGCAGAAGTATGCTTTTTTTCATAGCCTACAGCCACAGGGAAAAATACAGCATGATGGGGCTAAACGCTCAAATGTAACATCCTTATGCTCTGTAGATACCCTAGCACAGTGGCATGATAACTCATGGCTTCTGTGGCAGGTACACAGACAAGGAAGAGGTATTTTAGGGATGGCCACACTTTGCTTCTACAGCAGGTCTGCCAAGGGGCCAAATCTTGAGTTCACAGCAATCCCAATGCATAGTAAGTCAGCCCCCCCACAATTCTGGTGGCATCACAGCTCCTCTTTGAAAGTCAGGCAGCATGCAGTGCCTGGCCCAGCCTGTGGTGCACTGGTGCCCAGCTGGTGGTGTTTGTTCTGCCAAACTCTAGAGGTACATGAAGGAGTGGATCCAGAATCACACAGCTCCTGCCAGGCCTGGCATACAGCACTGAGAGAAACTGCTCTATGTGGGAGATGCAGAGAAAAATGGCCCAAACACTGAAGTTTTTCACATTCCCAGGGAGGAGATGGATCCCATACCCAATCTTTATCTGTCAGCTACAGGAGAGCTGCTGCCCAGAGCTGACATATTCAAGCCTTGGAGAAGACGCATGGGAATGTTCCTACATCCTTGGGCAGCTTAGGGAAAAGCCAAGAGCAATGCCAGCATAGGATTCTCAGGAGAATGAGGTACTTCATCCACCCGCAGAGGAATGGCTGAAACCTCACATGCATGCCCTGCATCGCTTCCCTTCTCCTTGTGCTGCACAGCAATGACT